TTTACCCAGTGCTGATCCCCATTTACTTCACTGATCAGCAATTCCTCGGTGTCCTGTCAATAGTCACCTGAAGTCAGTGTTGCTGGACTGTTTTCAATATGTATGGCTCTGCTTCTGCATTGGCCATTGTAAGACCTGCTGTCACTTAATTTATTTAACTTAACCATATCGGAGCTCCCAGTTATTTCTTCTTCCATTGCAGGAGCTACAATGATTTTTACATTTTATTCTAAACATACAAGGTGTTACTGACTACATTATAAAATTTGTGTTTGAAATTGATTGAACAATTTATCTTTAGCTAATTGTCTAGGTTTTTGTGTGAAAAGTGTGTTCTGTTACACAGTTTAGTAAAAGTCTACTTCACTTCAGATACCAAGCGTCAGGTGGAATCAAAGAGGCAGCTCAGAAATTTCAGAAGCAGTTGCAAAATATCTCCTGAGGCTAAAACTAGCCATAGGTGAAATTTCATGCTGACAAAGTTAGGTGCTGTATGAGAGTTGAACATACATGATGAGCAGTGCTGAAATAAGCAAAGTTGAAAGATAACTGTGGGCTTTAACTGATATGTCCAACTAATTCAGAGCAGCAGTTATTATAAAAAAACATAAATTGACTGCTATTTGTGATGCCTTGTGCTATTGACTGCCTCGTGCTTCCATGAGGAACTTGAACAATTCATCACCTTTCACCCCAACCTCCAATTCTCCTGGACCATCTCTGATACTTGTCTCTCCTTCCTTGACCTCCGTCTCCATCTCTGGTGACCACCTTGAAACCGACGTCTATTTCAAGCCCACCAACTCCCACAGCTGCCTGAACTACACCACCTCTCACCCACCTTCCTGCAAGAATGTGATCCAAATTCCTCTGCCTCTGCCACATCTCCCAAGATGGGGCGTTCCACTCCCACACATCTCAGATGTCCTTCTATTTCAAGGACAGTAACATCCACCCACCACTCCCCCCCCCACCTGGCCCCCCCCGCTCCCCAGCAAACCATCAAAAATGCCCTCAACTGCATCTCTTGCATTTCCCGTACTACTAGCTCGCATTCCCTCTCCCCCTAACAAAAACAAAGACAGAATGCCCCTTATCTTCACATATCACCCCACCGCCCCGGGCATCCAACGTATCATTCTCCTCCACTGCTGCCACCTACAGTCCAACTCCACAACCAAAGAGATATTTCCCTCCCCACCCCTATCTGCCTTTCGTAGGGACCACTCTCGCTGAGACTCCTTCATCTGCTTCACACTCCCCACGAGCCCCACCACCCCCGGCACCTTTCCCTGCAACTGCAGGAAGTGCTACACCTGCCCTTACACTTCTCCCCTCACCTCCATCCAGGGCACCAAACAAAGCTTCCACATTAGACGGGTTCACCAGCACATCCATCAATGTGGTCTACTGCATCCGCTGCTCCTGATGTGGCCGCCTCTACATCGGTGAGACCAAGCGTAGACTCGGAGACCGTTTTGTAGAGCACCTACGCTCTGTATGCAACAAACAACAACTTCCAGTCACGAACCATTTTAACTCTCCCACCTCCCCACCCCCCACTCCCTGGGTGACATGTCCATCCTGGGCCTCCTCCAGTGTCACAATGACACCCCCTGCAAACTGGAGGACCAGCACCTCCTATTCCACCTCGGGACCCTACAGCCCAATGGCCTAAACATGGAATTCACCAGTTTTAAAATCTCCCCACACCCGGCCTCATCCCATGTCCAACCCTCCCTTTCATCCCACCTCCTTGACCTGACCCGACCTGCCCATCTTGTCTCCCACTTGTCCACCCCTCCCATCCCACTGGCCAATCCCCACCACTCCCTTCCTGCGCTCACCTATCGCTATCCCACCTACCTTCCCCAGCCCTGTATTTATTTCTGAGCTCCCTTCCCCCTCTCCATTTCTGAATAAGGGTACTGACCCGAAATGCCAACTTTCCTGCTCCTCTGATGCTGCCTGGCCTGCTTTGCTTCTCCAGCTCCATACTGTGTTATCTCTGACTCTGGCACCTGCAGTTCTGGCTATCAGACTGAACTGTCTTAGCCAGAATAAGTATTACAAGATAGTGTCTAGACCAGAGTAGGCCCGAGCACCAAAAAGCAATACTATATTGAGATGCTGCAGGCACTGCCCAGAACAGTTGCATTTTTGTTTTTGCTCCAATGCCAGGAATGTGAATTTTGCAGAAACATGGAACAAACTTGGACTTTTCAGGTTAGAAACGTTAACAGTTGACTTGTATGGCTAAGAAATGGGAAGGCTAAATAGTATTGTAAATTGCAAAAGAACAGTGTTCAGTTGTGTAAAATATAACTCCTGATTTTTGAGATGATCCCTTTCATGCAGTGATCATATAGACTGACTCTCCAGATAGACCAGTGGAAGCGCAAACCCAGAAATGCATTTGAAACTGTAGATCTCTTTTTCTAAATGGACATATCAGAATGGGCTATATAGATGTCTTTATCCATAATTACTGTTTTTCTCTTGTAAACTGCACACTTGTCTGGCAGAACGTGTTGAGATCAGATTCCTTTACTGTCTGGTTCTGTTTTTGTTTTGGTTTCCACTATTGTTGTACATGTATATATACATAATAAACTTTTGAAAAGTTGGAAAATGGAAAATTGTTTCTGTATGGATTTCTATCAAAAGACCTTGAATCTTGCAAAATTTGATTGGCCTCAAAAGATCTAAATGCCAGCTTTGGTAAGTGATTAAAAGACCATGTGTAGCAGGAGCATTTTTCTTTTAATGATAAAACTTGCTGCTCACTACTTTTCCAGGAAAGGAAAGAAAATATGCCAAATGCCCTAGTCTGCAGAAGAACCATCATCCGCAGAAGAAAACAAGATATGATGTTGCCGGTGAGGATTTTGTAGATTTTTTTCCATCATGCAGTTTGGCTACATTTCCCATGTTAATGGCGTATATAGGTGTAAAATAAGAATACTGCAACGTAATTACCTTTCTTTCCTGTTGGTGTTGTGTTTGGCACTGTACCTGGCTTAGCAATTCTGTTAAAATATTGTTTGAAATTGCAAACAAATGTTGAGGGTGGTGTGTGATTGTTACCAATGAAATCATTCACTTGGAGCATTGAGTTAACAGTGTCAAGAATCAAGTAACTTTATTACTTTCAGTCCTACAACAACAACAACTTGCATTTACATAGCATCCAAAAGAAATTCCAAGAAATTTCATGGGAGCATTTCCTTTTATTCACCCATGTGATATGAGCAACCCAGAACTGCTTGCCCATCCTAATTGCCCAGAAGGCAGTTGAGTCTGCTGTGGATCTATTCAAACCAGGTAAAGATGTCAGATTTCCTTCCTTAAAGGGCATTAGTTAACCAGACTTTGTGTTTTACCACTATTGACCATGGATATATGGTAATCATTAAGCCAGCTCTTTTTATTCCAGATTTCATTGAATTCAACCTGCTCTGGTGGGATTTGAGCCCATGTCCCCGGAACAACACCGTGGGTTTCTGCTTCTGACGTTACCACAACGCCGCATCGTGTGTGTGTGTGTGTGTGTGGCAAGTTGAGATGACGAGTCCAAGAATTTGTTTCCTGCATTCCTGTGACTCCCTTATTTCTAATAGGTCGGAGTGCAGTATAATTAATATTGTTCCTGAAATAATTTAAATGTGTTGTAATGAATTGCAGAAGCTTATTATCAGGTTTATCCTTGAAGAATTATTGAATGCAAAATGGAACTTCCGATAGCAGACACAATAGTCAAGAATTGCCCAGAATTTGTTGACCTGCAGGGATTGGCAAAATGCTTCTTCATGGAGCATCAAAACCACCAGTTCCTAGATCATTTCGTGATAACCTACCCACAGATTTGACACATGGTTATATCTGCCTCCCCACTGGTGAAATAACTCCATCTGTAGACAGCTTCAATTTTCACCCCCCCCCCCCCCCCCAAAAAAAAGAACAGAAATAAGAAAGGGAGGTAGACTTTGTTAAATGACAAGACAATAAATGTCTCCAGTGGGAAGATCTGCTGTAAACCCTGCACTATAGAGATGACATTTGCAAGGAAAGGCAGATTCCTGTGTCAGGGCCATTGGTTGAAGAATTCTATCAGGCCAGGTGGTCAGATGGAAAGGGAGAAGCAGGGAATGCACAATTCCTATCAATGCCCAATAGATCATCAATATTTCAAGATCCATGTGTTACCTGATGCTTACACACGTGGCAGAGTTCATAGCATTCCTGTTAATCCCAGGAGTTCTGAGGAAGCACCACGACCACCTCTGGTGTTATCAAATTGGTAACCCTGGGCTCCAATTGGGACTGTTGGATATTCAATCTTGTGCATTAAGTCTAACTGTATATCATCCAAGAGAGGATGGAGATCTGGAGAGGAGCTATAACTGGAGATCCACAGCTCTTCAAGACAATAGCACTGCACCAAATCACAACTTACCAACTCCAATTCATACTAAAAAATGAAACCTTTAATGATAGATATTGAACATGGCATACTCATGCAGCAAGACAATATCTTATATTGTAAGGTGCAAAGGTTGTTGTAAATTTGTCTCAATATGTTCTTGAACAGAAAATAGCTGAAATCAGGATGAAGTACTACAAGTGCCAGTGAGGAAGCCAGATAATGGTGGTTGGTAGAATCTTGAGGATCCGAAGTAACTAGAGTTGCTTGGGAACATGTAAGATTGAAGATTGTGGATTTGCCTGGATGTAAATACAAGAGTAATGCTTGATCTAGCAAAAGAGTTTCTAGGGCAGGCCCCTGAAGCTGCAGATTCATTGCCAAGTTACAACGTTTGAGGGTTGACTGTACCAAAGGATATTTCTACTGTAATAGTTTAATCTCCAGCTGTAGTTTTAGTGAGGCAGTTTACATAGGAACAGGGGGAAATGTTAAATGGACATTGACTACTTGAAAGATAATAACCCTGTGAATGATTTATGGAAGCCACAAGTAGCCTTTAGTACATGATAGTTTCGTTAATATTAAAGCCCATTTTGGGAAATCCACAGGGAATTTCCTTTGGCATTCTCTGAAAGTATAGATTAACAACTTGAGCAGCAAGTGTCCAGTATTAGCTTCAAAAACGCTCCTAAATGGTTATAATGTTTCTCGGATGTTTTGAAATTTTAGGAATAGTACTTTGTTGATTTTTCAATTCTGATAGATGTAAGAAAATATTGAAGATGTCTTTCTGGAAAGGTGCAAATTAAACAGAAAATATCCGTGATGTGAGTGAGAAAGTGGCATTTAAAATTTGGATCAGGATGTACCCATAATAGCAATGATTAAAGTAAGGTGAAGGATTGCATTCGCTAATGTTTACAATTGTCCAAATAAGAAACTAGAAGTCTGCTAACTATATTATTTTTGAACTTGTCCAACTCCAGCACAAATCGTGCTGCTTTTGTAGAGAACCTGCTGATTGTTGTTGCTAAGTTCTTAGAAGTAAGCTCTGAAATTTATTGGAAACACCATATTTAACGAGGGCTATGGTATCCTGGCTGAGCAAGTTGTCACCAAGACACAAAACACAACATTGCAGAGAACAAATGATAGTTTGAACTACTGTATCAAGTAAGCAAGCTTTAATTTATGAAACTCTTTCCAACCAGGTGGAATCAACATGGAATACTTCAGGAATTGAGGTAATAGGTGCAATTTATTCAGCTCCTGCCCATTGCCAGATTCATAGTAATGTTACTGTTGAATTCTGTTGGCGGGGGGGAAGATAAGTAATAAGCTCCTTGTGACAATAATGGTTTCTTTTGAGCGTCATTTTGAGGAAAATGGTGAGTACACTGATATGAATAGAGTCGTGTCATAACGTGAGCTAGACAGAACAATAGTGTAAGCATTGTTTTTGTGTAGCTGATCGGCTTGCTTAACTTGTTTTACACTAATAATGAGATGTGGTTTATTATCGTTGAAAGATGTTACTCACGTACATATGCAATTCTATGAAACCTGCCTTTTCCTCTAATTGCCAAGAAACCTTACAGTTCTTAAATGCCTATGCCTTCACAGTGATGTAAAATCTGGTTTGGAACCCCCAATAGTGCTCTCCCACAACCTCCTCTGTCAGGCAGAAGATGCAGAAGTTAGAACACACGCACCAGTAGTTTCAGGAACAGCTTTTTTCTGGCCAAGTTTAGCTGGATGAATGGACTCTCTAGCTGCAAATATGCTGATCTCTCTAACGTTGATCTCGCCTAGCGCACACCCTGTGCAATGTAACCTGTATACCTCTAAGTTTTGTTTTACAACTTTTTGATGTGTACATCCTTGCTTACTATGATCCGCCTGTACTCCTCGTAAACAAAGCTTTTTGCTGCACTGTGGTACACGTGACAATAAATTAATCAATCTCATGTTGAAATATATACTACCGCGATTAGTGGTTGAACTGAAGTTCAGGCTGTTCTTCCTGCTGATTGGTGCTGATGACCTCTCTCTCATTCCAGAGAGAATCCTCTGGTATGAGTGGCTTCTTTTAAATAGTTATCCGGTCATTCCCAAGTACAGTGGCTTACTTCAGGTCAAGGGGGAGGGATGAGGCGAGTGGGTAGGAGATGGGTGTGGGGCTTGAGGTGGGAGGAGGGGATAGGTGGGAGGAAGGACTGGTTAGGGAGGTGGGGACAAGCTGGAGCTGGTTTTGGGATGCAGTTGGGGGAGGGGAGATTTTGAAGCATGTGAAGTTGAAATGGTTCGCGACTGGAAGGTGCAGTTGTTTGTAGCGAAATATGAGGTGCTGTTCCTGCAACCTTCAGGTGGCATCATCGTGACAAACAACCGCACCTCCCAGTCGCGAACCATTTCAACTCCCCCTCCCATTCCTTAGACTACATGTCCATCCTGGGCCTCCTGCAGTGCCACAACAATGCCACCCGAAGGTTGCAGGAACAGCATCTCATATTTCGCTTGGGAACCCTGCAGCCCAATGGTATCAATGTGGACTTCACAAGCTTCAAAATCTCCCCTCCCCCAACCACATCCCAAAACCAGCCCAGTTTGTCCCCGCCTCCCTAACCTATCCCTTCCTCCCACCTATCCCTTCCTCCCACCTATCCCTTCCTCCCACCTATCCCCTCCTCCCACCTCAAGCCCCACCCCCATCTCCTACCTACTAACCTCATCCCGCCCCCTTGACCTGTGCGTCCTCCCTGGACTGATCTATTCCCTCCCTACTTCCCCACCTACACTCACCTTTACTGGCTCCACCCCAGCCTCTTTGACCTGTCTGTCTCCTCTCCACCTATCTTCTCCTTTTATCCATCTTCTACCCGCCTCCCCCTCTCTCCCTATTTATTTCAGAACCCCCTTCCCCTCCCCCATTTCTGAAGAAGGATCTAGGCCCGAAACGTCAGCTTTCCTGCTCCTCTGATGCTGCTTGGCCTACTGTGTTCATCTAGCTCTACACCTTGTTATCTCCTGGTTTAGTAGCTCAGTTCCACTGCCTCATTTTAAACCCTTATGTAGTATAAACAATCAAGGTAACTGGTTTGCATACCTGCCTTGTCTGGTCTGATCCAATTGCCAGCATATTGTTCAGTTGGCTGGTTTACCTAGCATGTCTTTCATTTGGCCAGTATTGCTTTTATCGTCCCAAGAGTTGTGGTTTAATTTAGAAAGGGCATTAGACTACTTACAATAGAGTGTAAATGACAAAATAGTGGGGTCCTGTAAGAAAGATGCTGCACTCATTGTGAGCAATTTTGGTTGAGTTTGTAGTGTGTTTGGGACAGTTTTTTTTTAAAAAGAATTGCTTATGGAAACAAGTGGAGCGAAAGCTACTTAAGATCTGGTCATGCATAATGAGACTTTAGAGAGAGTGTGGTTTAGCGATAATATGACTGG